TCGGCGATGCATCGGAGATGCGGCTCGGTGTGGGGCCCTGTTTTCTCCACGCTGAGGTCGCCAAAAATCGCTGACGTCGCCACTGCATCGCCGATGCATCGGTGATGCGGCGCGATCCTAGGATCCCATAAACTTCGGCCCCATCCAGGAGGCCTCTAAGAGGGCTGCGGTCCTTTATGGGGGTGTCCCCGGGACGACCCCAGGGGCCCAAGGGATTCCTTGGGAGGCTTCCTGGAGCCAGGTGGCCCAACGCTTGCCAGAAACATATGCTGTCTCAGAGTGAGACCCAGCCTGTGGGCTCGTGCACTCTCGATGTGCAGCCTTTATGGCGTGGCGCAACCTGTACATAGTGCAAGCTACGCGTTGTAATGTATATGGTGCAATTTTTCCAGCTGCCTCTGGCAATTCCGCCACTGTGCCAGCGCAGCATCTCTGGGTGGCAACTATTCGAGAAGGCAACGGGGGCCTGCTGGGGGCCTCTGGGGGCCTGCTGGAAGCCTTGGGAGCCTCCTGATGGTCTATTGGGTCGGCTTGAGACGTCGGAAGCTTGAGAAGGTGAGGATTTTAAAATATTGAAAAACGTAAGCATAGTGAATGGTTGTTGCCTCTCGAAGCCCTCTTGGGATGACTCTTGGGGCCTATCTTGGGGCGCCTCGAAGGCCTCGTGGGCCGTCTTGGAGCCATCTTGGCCCGTCTTGAGTGGCCCGTCTTGGAGCGATATTGGGCCGTCTTGAACACATCTGGGCATCGGGTGCGCGAGTATGTTGCATTTTGCGAAGTATTTTTCCCTCGGGGAGAAGGAGCGATGCACGCGGGTGGGTGCGTCGAGCGGGGTGGTGGGGTCTTTTCAGCAACTTACAGAAACTCTGCCAGACAGTACCTCGCATTCCAGCACGCCTCAAGGAGCAGGGGGGCACGGTGGCGGATATGACACAAACTATATGGGGCAACATTTGCGAGGCAAGCTGTATTGTGCAAGCTGTGTGGCGCAACCTAGTTGGTGCAATCTATGTGGTGCAAACTCTGTGTTGAACGCTATTTGGCGGAGCATCCGTTTTGCGGACTGTGCCATGCAACCTGTATCTTGCAATATTGTAGCGGCGGCCTCGGGCCAGTGCCACCGATCCGGGGCGCTCCCGATGCTGATGGGAATGGATGACCTGAAGATGCAGCCCTCGTTCGAGACATCCTCATAAGATTAACATGTGGAAATCGGTTGCGAAATCTTGGAATCTTCGAAAATGACGCCCGCCCCCGAGCACTGCATGGCGCCGGGAATGGCGTCCCCCCCCCCTTGCAGAGGGAACCCTCCCCCCCCGGCTCCCGAGCACTGAATGGCGTCGGAAATGGCTTCGGGAATGGCGCCACCACCCCCCTCCCCCCCTTGCAGAGCGAACCCCCCGCCCGGCTCCCGAGCACTGAATTGCGTCGGGAATGGCGCCCCCCCCACCCCCTTTCAGAGCGCACCCCCCCCGGGCTCCCGAGCACTGAATGGCGTCGGGAATGGCGCCCCCCCCCTTGCAGAGCGAACCCCCCCCAGCTGCCGAGCACTGAATGGCGTTGGGAATGGCGTCCCCCCCGCCCTTGCAGAGCGGCGAAGCTCGAGCGACCCCCACGGCTCCCGAGCACTGAATGGCGCCGGGACTGGTGTCCCCCCTCCCCCCACCCTTGCAGGGCGAACCCCCCCCCAGCTCCCGAGCACTGACTGGCGTCGGGAATGGCGTCCCCCCCCCCCCCCCCCTGCAGAGCGAAGCTTGAGCGAGCTCAAGCCCACGCTCTCAGAAACTCACACGCCAGATCGGCGGATCGGAGGTGAGGGGGTGAGATCGAAGTGGAACGTAGAGCCCCCCTACCGGGAAATCGGTTTCGGTTTCGTGTTCGTGCGTGCCGTGCGTGTGGGCGAGGCGAAGCTGCGTGGGCGGGCGAGAAGAAAGTCTCTTCCGGCTGAGGCGCGGCCGGACCAAATGTTTCCTCTCCGGGGGCCGGTGGCGCGCGGTGTCCCGCCGGTGTCCCGCCTCCGGCTGAGGCGCGGCCGGACCAAATATTTCCTCTCTGGGGGCCAGTGGCGCGCGGTGTCCCGCCGGTGTCCCGTCGGTGTGCCGATGATGATGATGATGATGATGATGATGATGATGATGATGATGATGATGATGATGATGATGATGATGATGATGATGATGTTGATGTTGATGTTGATGATGATGATGATGCTGATGTTGATGTTGATGCTGATGTTGATGATGGTGATCATGCAGATGGTGGTGATGATGGTGCCCCGATGATGATGATGATGGTGATGATGATGATGATGTTGACGATGTTGATGATGCTGATGATGGTGATGGTGATGATGATGGTGTCCCGATGATGATGATGATGATGATGATGATGATGATGATGATGATGCTGCTGTTGATGTTGATGACGGTGTCCCGATGGTGATGATGCTGATGATGCTGATGATGGATGAGATGGTGATGATGATGGTGTCCCGGTGATGATGATGACTAGGTTGATGGTGATGATGTTGGTGATGATGATGGTGTCCCGATGATGATGATGAGGTTGATGATGATGGTGATGACGATGATGGTGTCCCGATGTTGATGGTGATGTTGTTGCTGACGAGGAAGATGATGAGGTGATGATGATGATTATTGTGATGCTGGTGGCCCGATAATGATGATGATGGCGATGTTGATGTTGATGATGATGATGATGGTGTCCCGATGATAATGATGATTGTGATGATGGTGACGATGACGATGGTGTCCCGATGATGATGATGATGATGATGATGATGATGATTATGATGATGATGATGATGTCCATGATGATGATGTTGCTGATGATGATAGTGTCCCGGTGATGGTGATGTTGATGATGTTGTTCATAATGATGATGATGATGATGATGATGATGATGATGATGATGATGATGATGATGATATGTTGATGATGTTGGTGGTGGTGTTCCGATGCTGATGATGCCCCGATGATGATGATGTTGAGGATGATTATGGTGACGAGGAGAATGTCCCGATGATGATGATGGTGATGGTGAGGACGATGCTGATGTTGATGATGCTGGTGATGATGTTGATGGTGGTGTCCTGATGATGATGATGTTGCTGATGATGAAGTTGGTGACGATGATGTTGATGATGATGTTGATAATGAGATCTACTGTGATACCGATAGTGAGATCGATAGTGAGACCGAATGTGAGATCGATTGTAAGATCGATGTTGAGATCGATTGTGCGATCGATTGTGAGATCGATCGTCAGATCGATTGTGATATTGATCGAAGGAAATACATCGAGTGTGATCGATCGAGTGAGATCAATCGAGCGAGACCGATGGTGAGATCGATCGTGATATCGATAGTGAGACCGAACGAGTGAGACGTTGGTTCCTCCACCCCCCGAACCTCCTGATCACCCGAATGGTGATCGTATAGGTATGATGATATATGGTTCAAGCTCTGTCGTGCATTCGATGGGTTGCAAGCTAACTATACGGTGCAATCTACAGTGAAACACCCTGCTCGCCTCCAGGGTGCCCTGGGTGTCTTCGGTGTCGATGGCTTCCCTATGGAAGGCGCGACGTCCCCATACCACAAGTCAATGGACCTCCTGGGGTCTCAGGGTTGGGTTTCCTGTGGGAGGTGTCTTGTGGTCGAGCTCCTTTCGTGTGTGCGTGCTGCAAGCTTCGTGGTGTAAGCTACGTGGTGCGATGAGGCGCCCACCTGGCGTCCACGGGGCGACAGCCAGGAGCCGCCCGTCGGCGCACAACAGGGCGCCTCCGGGCGGTGGGCGCCGGGCGAAGACCCAGAGCCGGCAGCCTTGGTACGAGGCGGAGGAGTAGGAGTAGGAGGTGGAGGAGGAGGCAGGAGGAGGGAGGAGGGAGGAGGGAGGAGGGCGCCCACGAGCCGACCACTGATCCGAAAGGGCCCTCTTAGGCCCCACAGGGCCCTCGAGGCCCACGAGGGCTCCAAAAGGAGCCCGTTTGGGCTTTCTCCAAAGGGGCCCTAAAGTCAGGAGGGAAACAAACACACAGACACAATTCATCGTCGACCCCCAGGAAAATATTCGAATATATGGGAAGGGGGGGAGAAGACAAAACCGCAGAAAAGATGGGAAAATATGGGGAATCCTTTTATTTGTATGTATTTATTTGTGTGTCCCAGGGCCCCTTCATAAAGGGCCCTTCTATGGCCTTTCTCTTCGCCTCCCCTTTCGGTCCCCCCCCATTGCCACCCGCCCGATACGAGCCGACCACGGGCTGGCAATTTGGGAAAATTCAGAGCCACCAGCCAGCGCAAACGCCGGCGGGCGGGCAGTGGGCGAACACCATGAGCCGAGAGCCGCCTGCTTGGAACGAGAAGCAATCGCTAGTCAGTGCGAGCATTGTTTGGAAGAACTTCGGTCCACACTCCTCGGTCTGTGCGCTTTCGCTGTCCAGGAGGTCCAGAAAGGTCAACGACGTCTGGCAGAGTCGGTCCTCGGTCTGGAATGTCCGTGCAGTCCTCTGGAGGCTTCGGGAGGTCAGGAGGCCCACCATAGTGACGAAAAACGCAGAATTTCCTCGACCATCGGCGAACCTCATTCTTCGATCCTCGACGGAGAGTCGGGACGTTTCTTCAATCCTCGTGTCGTCGAGCCTCAAAATTCGAAGAATGGCTCGGGGCTGGAGCCGCCTGGTGGCTTGTGCTCATGCTGTCTCTTGCTCCTTCGTCGGTCCTCGAGCCCCCGAGCCCCCCCCTCCTCCTCCTCCTCCTCCTCCTCCTCCTCCTCCTCCTCCCTCCTCCCTCCTCCTCCTCCTCCTCTCTCCTCCTCCTCCTCCTCCTCCTCTCCTCCTCCTCCCTCCTCCTCCTCTCCTCCTCCTCTTCCTCCTCCTCCTCCTCCTCCTCCTTCTCCTCTTTCTCCTCCTCCTCCTCCTCCTCCCCCGATCCTCTCGATCCTCGGTCTCGGTGCCCCGCCCGTCTCGAAGCCGACAGGTCCGCTTCCGCGCGCTCGGGGCCGGCGGCACGGCGGGGGCCTGGGAGCAGGCCGACGCAGTGCCGCTCGGCGTCGCGCGGGCGGCGGACGGGGCGGCGGCCGAGGCGCGCGGGGCTGCCGTCCTCACGCGCGGGCGGGAGGGGGAGGAAGCAGAGGAGGAGGAGGCAGCGGATGAGAGGGAGGAGGAGGAGGAGGAGGAGGAGGAGGAGGAGGAGGAGGAGGAGGAGGAGGAGGAGGAGGAGGAGGAGGAGGAGGAGGAGGAGGAGGAGGAGGAGGAGGAGGAGGAGGAGGAGGAGGAGGGGAGGAGGAGGAGGAGGAGGAGGAGTTGGAGGAGGAGGAAGAGGAGGATGAGCAGGAGCAGGAGGAGGAGGAGGAGGAGCAGGAGGGAGGAGGAGGAGAGAGGAGCAGGAGGAGGAGGAGAGCAGGGAGGAGGAGCAGGAGGAGGAGCAGGAGGAGGAGGAGTTGGAGGAGGAGGAGGAGGAGGAGGAGGTGGAGGAGGAGGAGGAGGGAGGAGGAGGGGGAGGAGGAGGAGGAGGAGGAGGAGGAGCAGGAGGAAGAGGAGGAGGAGAAGGAGGAGGAGGAGGAGGAGGAGAAGGAGGAGGAGGAGGAGGAGATCTCCTCCGACTCGGGAGTGGCGCGGTTGTTGGCCCGCCTTGCCAGTCCAGCGCGAGTGCACGTGCATGCTCTGTGCAGGCGCTCGATAGTCTTGTTCTTGCTGCCCCCGCCTCCCTCCCTGGTCTTGTTCTGTACGGGCTACGGCCATCCAGCCTTATGCGACAATGCGCCGAGCCTAGCCGAGCCAGAGGGGAGGGAGGAGGAGAAGGATGATATGCTGAGGTTTACTGATTGTATGGTACCTCCACTCATCTGCCGCCGCGGACTGGGTTACCCTCGCCCTTGCGGACCACTGTTCCTTGCCTTTCTCTTGGCACTGCTGCCTCTGCACCCGTCCGCGGCCTTGGTGGCTGCTTCGCCTACAACCCGCTGGATTCAAAAGTCGGGACCGCAGAGGTCTTGGAAGAAGCTTTGATGTTCGGTTCCCGTTAGGCCCCGGGGCCCCAGTACAATGTTGCAGAGGCCGCCATGGCAGAACTCCTGGTGCATCATCACCCCCTTTAATATTATAATCGCCAAATGGGGTGAATACCAGAAATTCGCATTCCGCCCAACACTTCCGAATACTTCCACCCAAAAAAAATCCTGCCACTTTTCAGACGACCAGGAATTTTCAGAGGCCACCGGATTCTGGCGATTCCGCGCAGGACTTCCTCACCCAACAAAATCCGGTCCCATTTTTGTTGCCTGAAAGTTGTGTTTCTGCATGGGGCTTCCTGCAAGTCATGTTTACCTCTCTCGGCGTGGGCGATTCTGGACAGAACTCGTGGCTTCCAGTGCTCAGCGCCTTGCTGTGCCTTTCCGTTGTTCCGCGCGCGAGCCTGTCGCGGGGTCATCTCGGAGGCCATGGTCAAGAATCGAAGGTCTAGGAACAATCGAGGGCCGAAGCTCCTGGCCCCATCTGATAGCGACGAGGCAGGGGGGCCTGCAGTGCCGATCTGGACTTATTAATCCAGGAGTTGGTAAGTTCGGGGGCGGAACAGAGGGGGGTGGTGACTAGGGGGGGTGGATATCATGGCGTGGGCCATAGTATTTCTCCAGATTTCATAGCGCCTTTCTTTTTTTTTCATTACGTCCTTGGCCCCCCCGCTGGGCCGCGCACATGCCGCCAGTCATGATTTGCACCCCCCCCTCTTGGACACCCCCCTCTTGGCCGCTCCCGATAAGTCGGCGATTTCTGTTCCACCTTCGCTACATAACGCTTCAAGCATCGGCCCGAAGTCCGCTCCACGTCAAGAAAGGAGGCGATCAGTTGGAGCCGGCTGGGAGTCTGAGGTGGCCCAGTATTGGTTCCGGCGAGCAAGGCCTTAGGTTTGAGAAAGGTTTTTGCCTTTTCTGGTCTTTCAGGGGCGCTTTCGGGCCCCAGGCCCGTCAAAAACGGATCCGCGGTGGAAACATGCACCAAAGGGTCCTTGGGAGGGGTCCGGGAACGGCTTTGACCGGAGTTGCCTTCTCCCCCCCTATCCCTCTTGCCCGATAATCTCGGGGCCCAACCAGCTCCGACTCCCTAGCCGCCTCCAAGGGAGGAGGCGTATGGTGGGCAGAGTGAGCGACGTATGGTCGGATATTCGTTCCAGCTCGTACCGTCAGCCACGTCTGGCCTTGCTGCGGAAATATTTGGGAGAGAGATGAACCAGTCTCATCGAAGCACAATCTTGCATTACTGATCTGTGGCAATTGCCTGAATGACCCTGGGCGCAACATGAGCAAGGGCGCGCTCCTTGAAAAAATGAAAGAGGATGGAAGAAGGAGTGAGAGGGGAGGAGAGGGAGGGGGAGGGGGCCAGAGGAGGGACGGATCAGTGAGGGAGGGTGAGGACGAGTTGGATGAGGAAGGAGAAGGGAGGAGGCAGGTGCAAAGAGAGAGAGAGAGGAGAGTGAGGCTTGCTAGCAGAAGCAGGAACAGGAGGACGAGCAGGAGAAGAACGGGGAGGGGGAGACTCCGATACGACCTTCCGCATCATCCCTCGTTCCCCGTCGCCCCTCTTCTTTCTCCTCCTCCTCCCTCCACGCCATCCCGTGCTCCTGGTCGCTCCTCCGCATTGCCCGTCCTCGGGAACAGGAGAAGGGTGAGGGGCAACATCAGCAGCAGCAGCAGAAGGAGGAGGAGGAGGAGGATTCAGAGGTCACCATCCTCCAGGACGTTCCATGACGGGGGAGCTGAACTGCCCCGATACGCGACACGACAGCCAGGAGGGAGGTTGAGCCTCCACCACTGCAGGTCTCTGGGCCCTTGCTGAGGGGCATCGGCGCCACCCAAACACACTAGTGCTGTGTGTGCGTCGCTGCCGAAGGTGCGACGTGCCCTCGGAGAAATCTTACACGGCGGGGGCGTTGGTTAAGGAAGGCGCCCAGGAGGCTGAAGACTCTGGAGGACTCCTTGTCTGATGCGGGCGGCGGTGCTATCCATGGCCATGCTTCGATTGGAGTTCCGCCGGCCTCCAGACCCTGGCTTCCTCATCGAAAGGTTCCTTATCCAAAGCCCCCACCGTTTTTTGTTGCCGAGGAGTGTCTCAAGGGCCTATGTGAGAAACAACTGTACATTCGAGGGACGATTACGCCGAAAGGGCGTGCCCAATCCTTTTGCCGGTTGCCGTGAGCGCTGTACCGCTGGCAATGGGGTGACTGTGTCCCTCACGGCGACTGGTTGCAGCGAGCTCTCGGGTTTGGGCGTCCAGCCTCTGCAGTTCAGCTTCGGTCAGAGAGGGCAAACCCATGGCCAGAACCACATGCTGACAATTGGTCCGCCTCCTAGTAGTATATGTCCGGCGGCGGGCGCTTTCTGGCCGCAACGCCCAGGAAACGATACACCGCAGGACGGATGCACTGTGCGTTCGGGTCGGACGCACGCCTCCGAGGAGGGCACGCCTCCGAGGTGCGCGGAGCGGGCGGAGGAGCAGGAGCAGGGAGGAGGAGCAGGAAGAAGGAGGAAGAGCAGGGAGAAGGAGGAGGAGGAGGAGAAGGAAGAGGGGGAAGGGGGAGGAGGAAGAGGGGGAGGAGGAGGCGGATGCGGAGGAGGCGGAGGAGGAGGAGCAGAGAGAGCAGAGCAGCGCCGATGATCCGATGAAGTCAACCGCCTTGAACGACCGCACCCTGCAGGGCCACAAGGGAAAAACAAAAAACGGATCAGGCGTTCGAGAACCACTTAAGGGGCCCGAGATTCTGTGGGGCCCTGCAGGGGGATTCCACTGGCATATCAGCGAGACCCCCAAAAAGGGGACACCTAGGGGGCTCGCCTATGCACTCCCTCCACTGACCAGGGCCGAGGGACGGCGACGCATTAAACCGACCCCAGCACAACCCCTTTCAGTCCTCCTCGGCGCGGCGCGGCACGGCCCAAACGTCGGAGGTCCGCAGGGAACCCGAGAGACGACCCTCGCCCAAGGAACTCGCGGCCAGCCGAAGCTGACGGGAGGCCTCCGAAAGCCTCTGGAGCGTCTCAACGCCGAAGGAGGCCTGAATGGGGGGGGTCCTAAAGAAAAGTCTAACCTCCAGGGCCCCATCCGAGTACTCGAGGATCGGGGAGAGGGTCCGAGCCTGGAGGGCGAGGAGGGTTCCGTCTGGGAGGCGGCCCTGGAGGTACAACTCCGCGGTGCGGCGCGAGCCGTTGATAGTTTGCAACCTGAAACGGGCAGGTTGACTCACAGCTCGTCGTCGTCCTTGTCCTTGTCCCTGCCGTCGGGCGCTGCCGCTGGTTTGTCCTTCATCCCGAGCTGCGCCAGCAGCTTGGAGGCTTCGCGCTCCAGCCCGCCTCTCGGCGGCGCCCCTGGGAGAAAACGCACGGTCTGGTCCTTCTTGTCCGTGCCTGCCGCCATGACCGTCTGCTGAACCGCCTCCATCAGCGATGCTGTGCCGTCTCCCCAAGGATTCGCCTGCTGCGGGATGCCAAGCATGATCTGGAGCTTGAACCTGTCGGGCTTGGTGAGCTTCTTCTTGTCGTACCAGCAGGCCTTGAGTCGGAAGTGGCGGCAGTGGATCGCCAGCGTCTCGAGCGCCGACGGGGCTAGGATGACCTTCTTCCAGTAGTCCTGGAACACCGTCTGCGCTGCCGCTGGAGTCGTGCTGGCCCCCTTCCGTGCTGCAGGCCCACTTGATGAACGCCTTGAACACATGCGGCCAGGGAGGGCCGTGCTGGTGGTCCTTGCCGTCGGCCTTGCAGTTCTCGGCGTACGTCTTGCCCGTCTCCTGCAGCACCTTGACGAACGGGACCTCTGCCCCGACCATGTACGAGGTGTAGCAGGCGCCAGTCACCTCGGCCAGCTCGCGCGCGTTGGTGAGGGCGAGCCTCGTGAGGACGACCAGGAGCGCCGCCAGCGCCCCTCCCTTGCCGTTCTTCTGGTTGGCCTGCGCCTCTTGCCCGAGCTCCGCGAGCAGTCGGGCCTGCTTGGCACCCTTGGAGTCGCTGGTCTCCAGGCCCTTGCGTTTCCCGACCGCCCAGCTGGGCTCGTCTAAATCCATCGCCTCCCAGCACGAGCGGGAGGTCCTCGAAA